TTTGATTTGTAACTTATCAAAATACAATGGCAAGTCCTTCTGCTATTTAGTAGGAAAATTAATTTTATCTTAAAATTACAGAGATGTCTCTCATTTAGGAAAGATATCTCTAAAAAATAGAGATATCTCCCAACTTAAAGAGATATCTCTCAGTTTTAAGAGATATCACTATGAGAAAGAGATATCTCTTAAACTTAGAGAGATATCTCTTATTCGTTATACTCAAGGAGACATCTCTTTCACTTAGTGAGATATCTCTTTTTGTAAGAAAGATATCTCCTACACTTAAAGAGATGACTCTTTCTCCTTGAGAGATATCTCTTTCGTGAAAAGAGATATCTCTGTACGTTAAAGAGATATCTCTTTAACCTAGAGAGAGATATATTTTACTTTGGGAGATATCTTTCCAAGTTAAAGAGATATCTCTCAAAGTAAAAGCGATATCTCTCATAGTTTATCTTAAGAGATATCTCTCAAAATGAAAGAGATATCTTTCAAAAGTGTCCAAAAGAGATATCTCTCAAGCAAAAAGAGATATCCCTTTATTGCAGAGAGATATCTCTCTTCATTATTTATATTTAAATTGCATGTTTAATGACTTCTCCCTTTACTGAAAGTACAGGGTAAGCTTTTTATTCACGAAAGTACATTTAAGTATTTTGAAATTCGACAGATTCAAGATATTCTATGCGAGGGCTGTCCGGTAAAATCGTGGACATAGCGTTTTTCTCGAAAAATCATGGGCACCTTTAGCAAAAATTTTCAGGAAATGTTAAGGTATCATATTTAAGTGAATCGTAATTTTTTTTTATTACATAAATATACTACATGTATTAGACAAAAATAAAGATTTTATAACGCTTGAATGTGCACAGGGTAGTGTTACAGCGCACCGGAAAACAGTTCAGTTTGATTTTGATGTTGTAGTAAAACCTTAGGAGACATTAAATAAATTAATTAGTCAACGACTTATTGTTAATTAACAATGGTAATTTCCATTCCTTCGTCGATACGATATATCCTAATGAGCTTGAGATAAAAGATACCACAGAGTCTGACTCATCTGTTTCATATTTGGATATTTTACTTAAGAAAGACGTTAATGATAATATAACAACCAAGCTATATGATAAACGTAATGACTTTAACTTTTCTACCGTCAGCTTCCCTTATGCAGCAATATACCTTCATCACCTGTATACGGAGTATATATGTCTCAGTTGATTCGTTACGCAAGAGCATGCTCTGCGTATGAACAATTTCTAAAACGAGGTAAATTTGACAAGCAAGTTGATGAAAAAAGAATATCAACAGTCTCTGTGGTCGATAAAGTCATCATTTCAGCAAATGGGGATGTTAGTCCGTTATTTATACACTGAATTGAGGACCTCAATGGCACACGGCGGGTGTGATCCCACCTCTCTTGTTTCGGAGGTCCGTGTTTGCTTTGCTCCTATTTTGTATTGTTTTATGGACTTTGATATTGAATACTGTTCGTCATCTCCATATCTTTCTATTTGTTTAATCAAGGATTTTTTGAGAAGTATATTTTGGATAAGTACTCATAAAGTGTGACTCAAACTCGACTCACAGAGAAAATACGGGGTCAGTGTTCATCTTACTGATCTACGGTACAATGAAGTTGACCTTTTTGTACTTAAATTTGAACTCTTTGGTTACTTATACTAACCTTTATCATATTTTCTCAGATGTACCATGGCAATAAATATGATTTTATTTTACGTAAAATATTTTGAATAATATTTATCATTGAACAAATCTTGCAAATTAATGCGCGTAAATTATTGTGTGACCTCTTTACACTAAAAAGTAACATATTTGGGGTATTAAAAAACTAAATAGGCAATAAGCCATTTTTTAAAATAAAGCTTTTTACGACTTAAGTGCTGATCAGTCACAAGTATCGAGTACTTTAAAATAATGAAAGAAAAAGTTGGGGTCAGTGATGTTAATTTTGAAATATTGGTCAAAATATGTGATTTTCAAAAATGGTGTAAATTTTATCTTGACTTATTTGACATATCTTCATTTTTGGGCAAAGTTTGTTGAAGGAATGTGTATAACTTGTTCTAAAAATATAAATTAAGACCTATATTAAATACTCCTTGCAATATCATAATGGAAAATATTCTCCGAGTAAAAGTATGTGAGGCTAAAGATATTAAACTTAATAAATATGCAGTTTGCAGAATTATCTGCTAAATTTCCTTCCACCACAAGGAATAGTCCCTCATAAACCTTGCTTCTTTGTAGCTTTTTGAGCATTTTTTTTCGTTGAATGTTAAAACATTAATATTGTTGAAATTAAATATGTTAAAAAAATTGATTTTTGATATATAGTTTTGAAGTAAGAGGTTCTGCGTGAACTTTCTAAAAAGCTGACGAGTGACATACCTTAAAAGCGAAATTATTACAGAGACTTTGCTTCCTGTTTCCCTTTCGTTTAATTATTTTATTTTAAGGATTACTGGAAAGATATATCTCTTTAGCTCAAAAGGATATATCTTTTTGAAATTCTTAAGAGATATCTCTCTAACTCAGAAAGATATCTCTTTTAACCTTGTTGAAGAGATATCTTTCTAACTTTAAGAGATATCTCTCTCTCTCTCGCTTTAAGAAATATCTCTCTAGCTTATAAAGATATTCCTCTAAGTAAAAGTGATATCTCTTTTGTTTAAAGAGATAGATCTCTAAGGTATAAAGATATTTCTCTAATGTATAAAGATATCTCTATTAGTCAAAGAGATATCTCTCTTTGTTAAAAAGATATCTCTATTACTGAAAGAAAATTTTCATTTCACAGTAAAAGGGCTTGCCATAAAATACACTTACATACCAAAAAATCAGCTCAATATATGCAAGCGTTTAGAAAAAAAGGTCGGAAACCCAAGAGGGACCGACTGACAGACAGAGAGACAGACAGAGGGACAATTGATTTTGGTATGTCTGTGTATCTTAATGAATTATGTACAGATCAAGTTTGCATTTCGTTCTGGTTCAGGATTTTCCTCAATTTTTTTTCTGAATGCTTGCATATATTGTGCTGTTTTTGGTATGTGATATATCCTTGATGAGTTATAGATCAAGTTTGCATTTCGTTCCGCTTTATTGGTTTTTGACAAAATTATATAACATTTTCAATTTTTTAACGGAAACCAGATATTATACTTACCGGTAGGAGGACAGTCACCTGAATTGTTATCAATAAGTCGCTAAATTAGCCAAACATCGAAAAATTCTAAATGTAACTCGTCTAAAAATTCAGGTGCCTGTGTTAGTAGACAAGTTTTGCTAATGCAATATTATCAGAATGTTTGTTAAATTTAACTTAAATTTGTAATACAGTTGTATATTCAACATATTTAAAATGTTAGTTGACCTTTTGATTGCTTTTTTTTTAATCTTTTCTTCTCTGTCATAATTTAGGCGTTTGACCTTGCCAAGTGATCCTACCAACTATAATAATTATGGCACTTTTTAAATTGATGTGCTTACAATAGTGGTGACTCAATATCTAAAGTGAACACAAACCAGTTACATTAATTTTCTTTTTGCTTTAGGGAACAAAAATCTGTGCTTTTGATCACATTTCCTCATCTGCTTAAATTACATTCATTTTCAGCGTTTTTTCCGACCTTTTGATTTTGCACTAACATACGGACACCTAGAGTAAGCATAATTTGTTTCAGTTTCTTTCGTACGAACCAATGTATTCGAAATTGAATTAAGTGTTTATTTTTAATTTAATTAAAGATGATACGTACATGTATGTATTTTAAACATAAAGTAAATTGTGATTTAAAATATCAGACATGTAAATTTATATGTATTAGGATATAAAATTATATAAAAGTGTGATTTTAAATAAGGTAACTAAAAGAACTTTTCATGCTTGCAGGAAAATATTATCTACGTTATATTTTAAAAGCTTTCAAAATGACAGTTCGTTTGGATATTATTTTATCCATATATCACGTGTATTACTCTGTTATCATTATCATTGAAAGTCCGGTTGCCCAAGATAAATGTTTTTCTATAAATATAAATAGTTTCTCACTGTTAAAAATTTACCTCAGTATATATAAATTCAATTTGTGGTTTTTGTCACGTCCACAGTATGTGCATTTTCTAATTATAATTATCTCTCGTAAAATGCATGATTGCTGTCGATTCTATTGGTTTACATAAATTGTTACATGTACTGTTATTTCTCTCAAACCAAAAATTAAAGTTGAATTTATTTTAAAGGCGAAAACATTTTTTTGCATTAAATATAGAGAATAAATCTATAATTAGCTTTACTCAGTGCCTTACATTGTGTTGATAGGGCAACAAATTTTAATTGAAAAATTCAAATTTTTGTAGAGGACAGTAGGAAAATTTTAAAGTCTGTATAATATAACAACCAATTCGTCAATGATACTAAGACATAAAATAATGTATATTAAATAAATGATAAAAAGAACACAGAAATAAAAAAAAAAAAAAAGATATACATGTATTCTCAAATATTGGTATTCCCTGATATTTTTGGAAAATCACCATGAATTTCCCTAAAAACTTGTGGTAAAATAAACAATACTGGAGTGGTTTTGATAAGCAAAAAGTATTTGGGAAAACCACGCATTCAGAACATACTGCAGAACATTTCAGTATTTGAAATATAAATATTCATAAATATATATTTTTTAATTGGGAAAAGAATAAAATTATAAATGATGAAACAAAAACAAAATTATATCAACATTTTAAAAACGAAATAAAAACCATCCTTCCCAAAAACATCAATGAAGAAATACACCGTACATAGAAATAAATCTTAACTAAAAAGGTAAACAGTACAACACAAATTTCCTTTGATAAAAAAAAAACAAATATCCACAATGCACGTGACAGCAATTCTGTCATGTTCGTAAGTCCCAATGAAATATAAGGTCAACCACACGTCATTTGCAATTGTTTGCAATTCTTTGAACGTGTTTACCTGAAATGGGTTTCCCCGACAAGTGACGTCTACTAATTAACAGTCATATAAAATGTCAATCGGCAATTTTGTTTTCATGTTTTGTTAAATATGCAAAGTCTCAAAAGGTAAGTTGTTTTCTTTTTTTTAAGTAAAAATAATTTCTTCAAAAATATACAACCCTCAAATAATTTTAATTTCTTTTTTCAATTTACTTAATAAAAATGTACATCATTAATTAATAGAAAATAAAATGGCTACTACAGAGTGTAGTATTTTAATATACATTACTAAAATCTTTACGAAAACCTCTCTCCAAAACTCTGGACAAACTAAGTTTTGAAGGAAAATACTGTCAAAAATTAATGAAACATATCACTTAGATTGAACTATCATTACAACTAAGATTTTAAAAGATATGCCCCCCAAAATCCTTCAGTAAGATATAGAGAAACATTTGTACGTTTCCTCCAACTTTGCTTAAAGCAACATGAGCTGCAACTTTGATGTCAGAATGTTTTAATGCAAAATTGTAAATAACTTTTTCCTTTACAGTCGTATGTTTTTATCAATTTTAGTTACTATGAAAAAAAAATATAATGACAGAGAGATAACGTCATTAAAAATTGTTTTTCTTCTGTTGTATATATTCGCTTATTTTTCAACAAAATTCATAGAGAACAATATCAATTTGGAATTTCCCGAAGATCAATGTAGAGGAAATAAATCCTTGTATTCACCTGGAACGTCACGTGCAGGTCAATACAACGTTTAGTATTTTTCTATTGAATTAAACTATTATTGTCGTCCTGTACAACAATTATTTTTTATGTAAAACTGTATATGGAATTGTGTATAGAAGTCTTCCCTATACCTTACTTTAGTCTAATTGATCATAAAGGTTTAAGTTAAGATAAGTTACATATTACAAATTTCTCATAATAACACATTTTAATAGCAATATAAAAATTTCAAAAATGCAGCTCATATTGCTTTAACATAAATCTTAAAACTCCCTTTAATGCACAAGTTTGAACACCAAACTTGTTGAAAAATTGCGCCTAGGCGGCACAATAGAATAATTTTTTTCCCAAAATATTCTAAGCTTGATTTCATTGGTTGTGTAGAGTGTCATGACCCTACGTTAAAATATGTTATAGACTTAGAATAATTTTTTTTTTTTAAAATAGTTTCCAAAAGTTCTTAAAGACTTCCAAAAGTTCTTTAAGACTTTTTGAAAATCTCCATTTATAATTTAATTGGTTTACCCCAAATAAAATGTGTTGTAGCACAGTTCTTCTGAAGTTTTTTTTATTTTCATAGCAAGTAATATTTTTGCCAGAAGTAGAGAGGACCTATTTTCTGTTATTCAAAATATATGCATTCGTACTTTTAACCATACCTCATAAATGTTGTAAACATTAAGACTTCTTTTTGTAGTTATTTATTGAAACACAAAAAACCGTAATTCTAAATTATTTTAAAGTAGTAGTATTTCATAATGTCTTTCAAAACCCCTGTCCTTATGAAAATTCCCCTGTCGTTCTCAGTAACCTACATCATTTCCACAGCTATCTACTGTATATCTACAGTATGGTATGGTATGGCACCCTGTACATGTATATACATTAAGTATAATCTTCACTCATTATTTGACAGACTACACCTTAAATAATACAACAAAAATAAATTGATCCATAACAAATAGGCATACATTAATGTGTATGTGATCAATGAAGTACTACAATGTTTTGGTTAAATATATGTTACATGCTATGCATTATATCCATAACAAAGACATTAAAAACCGCCCAGGAAAAAAACCTGTCTCCGTCGCTATGTAAATAATGCCTCAAGGGAGAATGCCGGACGTGCATTCGGAGCAGTACTTGGTATGTATAAACACCATATATGTACATGTACAATAAAGCATAATCAAATATATGACAATATTGCTGTTAATATTATATTCATTTGAATATGAATATAAAAAAACACGTGTGTGTTCTGCGGAGCACTGGCTTAGAATGATCCAACACCTCACAAAATACCGCCTTCTCACTGGCCTTTCTTTGGCCACGCCTACCATAAACAGACATTTCCAATAAAATACGTTCCTATTATATAATGTTTTCCCGCTATACTACGAAACGCGGGAAAACACTATTCTCTGTGTATCATACCAGTAAAAACTGGCAAATAATCCAGTAGAAAAATAAAATGGAGAAGTAATAAACAGGAACAAATTAATTTTTCATTCTACGGTTATGAAGTAAAATTGATAAGGATTAATTAAAACATTTTATAAACACAATAACTTATATTGTTGTACATGTATACTATTTAAAAATCAATTAAAACTACAGGTATTTTAGTAAAACTAAATTTTCAAGTCGATCATTTATATATTTTTAACCATTCATTTAATATCCTTTTTGTAGAATACTCGTGTACCTGTTATTGTGTATCAACCCAGCATGGACCTCATTACGAAACTCTCAAATGAATTCCCTCCTCTCCGAAACCATTGATGCTCCCAAGTCATCGGCTAATGTCCCATCGAGAGTGCCATTCAGAGAGAACAAAATTTCACCAAGTAGGGGACGTTTTCCCAGCTTTGAACGGATAGATAATTCGAGGAGGCCGTTGGAACCGAGAAGAGATTCCATTGCTCCTTCCGTCGCGGAGGTGAAAAGCGCCATCAGCGAAGTTCAATCTGTAGTTCGAAAGGAGGCTCAGCTTGATAGACAGCTTTTTGAACAAAGTAATAATCTAAGCATAAATACCAAATAAGCATATATACTAAAGTATAGTAGAGCATAAATAAATATCTATAATTTTTTTTTTTGGATTATTCATCAAGTTTAAGCCATGATGTATGAACATTTACATTTCATTTCATGAGTGCATAAACAGTTCAATAATTTCATCACAGTTCAAGCAAAAAAGCAATATACATGTTCTTTGTTAACGTTTTAGTTTAATACTTTATCTTGTATTTATACATTTAAGAAAGTGTGATGTATAATTAACTTGTGTTGCACGTTTACTCCTTTTTGAACACCAGTGTACGTACTTTGCTACAGTTGAACTCTGATATCTCGAACTCCCGTGACTACCAGGGATGTAACAAGGTTACCGGTTGTCTAAAGCCAAATTTATAGTTGAGTTCCAGTTTCAACTTTATTATCTCAAACCCTGTGATATCCTGTTGAGTTTAAGAGATGTATATAGGTTACTACTAGTATGTGTTTGCATCATCGTCAAAAGTCTTTTCAAGAAATGATCTTTAACACAGTTTTTATCTTTTAGAAATTGACCTTCCAAACCAGAACACAGCCGGTTTTGGACCACATTTGCTGACCACTTCGGAGGCTCAGAACATTGCCCAGCAGTCAGCTACTTTTATCGGCAGTGTTGCAAGAGCGATTGAGAAAACACAGAGTAGAAGAGCGTAAGTATTTCTTCGAATTTTGTAACAAAATATAATTTCCTCTGTTCTGAGTTTTTTTGCCTCAGATACTAGTAGCTAAAATGAAGTTGAAAGCAAATTTAGGCACTATATTTTCATTTCATTTTATGATCATATTATGTACACCAAAAGAAAGATATAAATTAATAAATTTTTTGTGATTATTTAAACTTTGAAATCTTGTTCAATTTATCTTGTCTTTAATTTATCAAATTTCTTGTCTTTAGTACTCTCTCAAGGTCATTTGTACCCAACAAAGATGTTCTGTCTCGCATTCCTGAAATCCCTAATCTATCGGTACAGTTCAGACCCTTTTGCCCATATAATAGCAAACCATCTTGCCAAACTACTGCTAAATATAGGACTGCTGATGGAACGTGCAACAACTTGAATAATCCACTTTGGGGGCGATCTCAAACGCCCTTTGAACGATTTGTATTTCCATTCTATGAAGATGGTAAGTCAAAATCTGAAAATAAGTAACTATATTTCACACATTTATTTGACGATTTGAAGATCAAAAAATGTTAATTAATTGAATAAGTTATATATACATATATGTATAATTTTTGTGAAGCAAAAAAAAATGTTTACACGTTTGTTCGGAATTTAAAAATCATGACATTCAAAATAAAGAAGATATTTTGATATCCATATGCATGTTCACAGATGTTCAGGACCCAAGAAGTCGGGATGTAAATGGGAGCCCGCTACCAGGTCCAAGGGAAATAAGCATTGCTGTCCATCAAAGGAGTACAAACACACACGTCATGGATCTCTCACAGTTCACCATGGAATTTGGACAATTCGTCAGTCACGATATCCAATTTAATGCTTTGTCAAAAGGTATATTTGACAATTTTTGAAATAAAAAATATTTGAGGGTTAAACCTTAGCATCTCTAAAATAACGCCACAGTCTGTAGTATTAGCATCCTCTTATTTCAAATAGATCGTGGTTAAATTTTTTGCTGTAAAAACAAAACATTGAAAAGCAAACAAAAACCCCCCTAAATTTTTGCATTTCTTCATTTCTCTCTTTTTGACAGAAAAGTATAATTAAGAGAGAAATGTTATAAACAGCAAGAATCCTGCGAAATCTGAACTTGATTCACTTGTACACCTAGAATCTTATGTTTGTAGGTTACTTAAACTCAAATCTCAATTGCTGTGACAGGAAAGGTTTGAACAGATTAAATTGTTTGCCAATTTCCTTACCAAAAGATGATCCTTATTTCGCATCTTTTAAAAGGACTTGTATGAACTTTGTTAGATCTTTACCATCAGCAGCTTTAGACTGTAGTGTCGGTGAGTCGAAAACTTAACACCTCCATTAAATGATTTTTAACAAATTGCATTCTAAAAGAAAAAAAAAATAATTTCAGCATTGCAATATTGAAAATCTTATATTGTCACTAGAAATTCGTATCATTTTCAGTTGTACTCCAGTAAATTGCATTAGTAGTTAATTTTCTTTGTTGTTGCTATGCTTTAAATTCAATCAATCATTAATCATTTTACAGGCCCGCGTCAACAAATTAACCAGAACACCCACTATATTGACGGCTCAGCTGTTTACGGCTCCGATCAGAACACAATGAATTCATTAAGACTAAAAAGAGATGGTAGGTTGCAATGTATTTTTAACAACTGCTAAATGTGACAAATCAAATAACTTTTATAAATAGAGAATATTTAGAAAGGAATTATTCTTACCTGAATATTAATTACTAGTATATATTGAAGCAATAAGGTATGCTCGTTTAGAGAGAAAACAGCATATGTACAAATTTAGAACAATCTAGTTTTACTAAGTCTTCAACAAGGTTTCCAAACGGTTACACGTTTTAATATATCCATGTACTTCTTCGAGGCAATATTGTATTAATATCCAAGAGCAAGGAATCTAACATCCATTTTCGAAAAATCTGAAATCTTGAAATTTTAAAAGAAGTCCTAATTAATTAATTTACATTATGGTTTTAGTCTAAAATTTTTGCTATAATTTTGATATATGCTTAAAACAACTTTTATAAGGTGATAGACGAGTTAACCAGCAAGCAGCCTTAATTTTCCTTTCAGACTATTTGGCACCGGGAACACAACAGAATTGCTAAAAATCTCAAAAAAGTAAAAACCAAGGTTGGAACGACGAGACACTTTTCCAGGAGTCTCGAAAAATTGTTGGGGCTCCTATTCATCATATTACCTACCATCAATACCTGCAAGAAATATTAGGAAACGATATTATGAATCAATTTGACCTAAAGCTGAAATCCTCAGGATATTTTACTAGCTATAACGCTAAATTTAAACCAATGATCAGGAATTCCTTATCTGTGGCAGCCTTCAGATTTGGTCATAGCATGATTAACGACAAGTTGTCTTATCATCCAGTTAATTTTTATGACAAGAACAGTTAATTTGTCAGAAATAGTCATATCTCGGCAACAGAATGGGTGGATAATAACATCCTTTCCAAAAATAAGCATGGCGACCATTAAAACACAAATCTTCTGTCTCAGTCCTGAGAAACCTTTATTCAAGGAGGATAGAGAATGGGTGCATCCTTTTTATCATATCTAATATGTTTAAAATCTAAAGTAAACGATATCTTAGGTATTTAATACTTATATCATTGTTCAAATATTCAACTATTTTTCAAAGTGCTAATAGGAGGTCTTTGATAGCAGATTGCTTAATTAAAAATACATATCTTTTCAAACTTGCTTTCACTGGGCAAGATGACAAGTATCATTTTTAACCGTCAGCCTTCCTTCACTAAAACGATTAATCCAATCATTAATTGAATTTATAGGAACTCATTTATCTCAATAAACTGTGTACAAATTATTATATGATACTGTAGAGGGATTTCTAAGATATTACAATAAATTGTACAGTCGTTTGGTGAAGGAGTTCGACTGAGACAACCATTTTTCGTCACAAGTGACCTAAATAGTGACGTCATTTTCACATTGTGACGTCACAAACAAGGAGAGAAACTTTATTCAGCATATAGACCTTGTGTATGGCTATGTGTGTACCAAATTTCATTCTAATCTGAATTGTGGTTTTGTAGATATAGAGATAGTTTGCGAACTTTTTGATCACCCCTCGTAATACACTAATGGCAAATGTCATCTGCAGAAACACAGACATAGACAAAATCCATAGAAATGTCTTTGAAAAGAAGACTATAAAGTATGTTGATCTTTGTACTAATGATACAAGACACAATTATCATCCCACGGAGTGATAATATTTATCTAGATAAATGTTTTAAATAATTATTTGAATTGAAAATCAAAGAAAAATGTCAAGTTAAGGCCACACCAATAAAAAATTTTGTTCATCAGACCCGCTCGCTCGTATTTAAACAAAACTATACAAATAATTTTAATTATAATCCCCGTTTCATAGGAATTATGTGCTGTTTTCTGTTCCTTTTCCGCTCTATTTATCGTACTTTTAATCTACTTACTCTGCTAATCAGAAAAAATATAATTCTCTGCTCAAATTTTTTCACGCCCCGCCTAAAATTTTGCCTACAATTTAAAAAGTAATAATATTATTATTTAATTGCTAGCCCGCTCGTAGTTTTTTCATCAAATGTCCGATGAACAAGAAATTAAATTGGTGTGGCCTAATAAGTAAATAGTTTAATCGTTTGCTCTCAAAAATCAACTTTTCTGCAGAAGATGACATTCAGTTTTAAATTATTTTTAGCACACCAAAGTTCTCCTGTTCTGAATTCAAAAACGACATTGATTTTACCAAATGGGATTCTTGTATTCCCCGACATGGTGGATGGTCGTCATGGAGACCACTTGGTAGATGTGCTTTTCGCAGATCATGCAATAGTCCTTCACTAAATAGACGTGGAAACCATGTACCGGAAGTTCTTATATATATATATATATGAATGTCCAGATATTGATCTTACACAAATAAGACCTGTGGTCCTAAGGCCGTTACCAAACATCCTTGAAGGACCATCCCCAGATTTTACCGATCGTACATTTGAAAGGAGACGAGTTGCAATACCTTGATTGCAATCAAAATATGTCTTAAAATAAGTGCAATATTCTTTTTTTCTTCGAAAATCCAGAAAAAAAAAAGTTTGTTATATTCATATAATTTGTGATGAATTGAATGAAAGATGTGTTGATACAATGTAATTTTTCCATCACAAATTGTAGATTCGAAATGACTGATGCATAATAGATTTTTTAAAACTATGAATGTGACCAATTATGTACAGTTTTTTAGCCAGCTGATTTGTCGCTGTAATCGTGGGTAATATAATTCATATGATATACTTTTTGTACATTTTAAAATGCTTCAATAAAGACATTCCAAAGATTTAATTTATTCTCTCTTTTTATTAAGTAAGTTTGAACAAGGAATCATACCCATAAATGTACGCACACAGCAATCTTCTTTTTTTTTCATTGTATGTCAAATGAAGTACATGTATTGGAATAATGAACAAAATAAAAAAAAATCTGACAAAAATCTTTACAACTCAACTACAATATTTTTGATTCACAACAAAAAACTTTAATTACATAAATAAAAACCTAAATTATTATAAAGTCAGATGTTCTTTTATGATGCTCAATGTCAAGCCCACTGTAAGAAAAAGGGAAAGAAAAAATGTTAGTACATTCATGGAAATGTATTTATATTGTACATGCCAGTAAATTTTGTTTCTGTTTAAAGTCAACTGAACATATTGCAAATTGATTGGTCGAAACAATGGCTTGTTAGCAAATACAATATATCCTTTTACCGAATGTAGTCTGACGTTTTTGAATTTTCATTTGCTATGAGAAGGAATACATTTCGGATGCGACGGGTCCACAGAGAATGCTTCCTCCTTCAGGTCACCTGATCATAATTCTGCCGTTTTGGGGATCTAGCTGTGTTTGCTCTACTCCCACTCTCTATTGTTTAAGGGGAGTTTGAATACTTATCGTTATCTTCATATCTCATGATTTTATCATTTTAAAGAATTTGAATGTTTTAACGTCAACATCGAAAAATGTTAATGGTTAATAATTAACAAGTTGGAGATCTTGTTTCTCTACGTGCGGTTTGCTGTTTATGGGATTTGGCGATAATGACAAATTCATGCAACATATCAACAACTCCAAAAGGCACCATAATAGGTACAATGTAAAAGACGCTGAGTCAAAGGTCTTCGTATTTTTGAGTTCTTCTTTGTTAAATAAAATATTTTTTTAGATAACTTTTGAAACGAAAACGATAATTCAGAGAGCAAAATAAAAAAGAATATCCAGAACAATTTCGAGGTGTTTTACAGCAGAAGTTGGCAAGACATAATAAATTCCCAAAAGGGAGGGATTCGTGATATAAAAATATATTTGTATCCGGGGTGAGACTTTATTTATAAAAAATAGTTTTTGAAAAAATAAATTTTAAAATGATTTTTGTGTATCTTTTACAAGCCTTAAAAATAAAACTTAAATCAGTACATAGTAATTGGAAACAACAACAGGTTATGAAAACACTGGATACTTACAAATTTTGGTTCAATACATTTCGTAATGCCGTCTTCTATAGACAAGGAATACCGTGCATTTTTCGTTCATTTTTCGAGAGCAAACAAAGTAGGTGATTAAAAGCACAAACTGAAAAAAAGAAATAATTTGACATATGTCTGTAATTCCAGTTTTAAATAAACACATATTTATAAGTAAAAAATATTGTATTTGTCAATCATTTTACAAGAATATACTAAGACTATGACTATAATAAATGAAATATCTCTTTAAAATAGAATTTTCATACTTAAAAGATGGATGTGTATGAATATCTTTACCTGCAACAAAATCACTGAAGAAGCTGCAACTGTCAGAAAGAAAGACCACCCTAACTGGTCGAGATTAAATTTTGAAATCACAATCAAAGTCGACGCAAAGCCCAGGATACCTACAAAATAAGAATGTGTATTTTAAACGTGATTCGCATTCAAAAAGAACATGAACACGAATCTGGTTTGTATAATATATAAAAGATAAAGTTTTTTTTTCAAATATAAAAAGAGAAGGGTGTACTAAATACATTTTAAAATTCGTAATAATTTCATTTTATAAATTTCCTTTTTACATTGTTTTTCGTAAGTTAAAGTGCTACTCCTAGTTTTAAAAACATACATGTATAATTGATGCTGTTTTAAATACCTTAATTCATTGAATTCTTATTTTTAAATGTGTTGGTCGTATAACAGACCGTGGTCGTGTGTTAGTATTCTCTATTGATACAAAAGAAATCTGATTCATCTTTATTTTCAATATAACATATATCAGTACTGATACAGTGAATAGGCTTCAGAGCCTGTTTGTGGGTGTTCAATTTTCATGAAAGGAATTTATTTACAAATGAAAGTGGCAAACGTAAAAACAAACAAACGAGCAAAAAACAAAACAAAACAAAAAAACCCAAAAAACGATTGAACTGATAATAATTGTTTGAAAATACAAACTATTATTTGTTTCAAAGGTGCAATTACAAAAATCTTGAAAAGGCCAGTCTTTAGAATCAAGTAATCAAGAGTTTGTGGCCTCATAAACATATCTATTTGTTACTCTAAATGATGGAGGTAATTCAAAAATATTAACTTTTATGTTAATTTGTGTGCAGAAAATGATGTTGCATATATATTTCAATACAATTTTAAAAATTATTTAATTTGAATTTTTGGTAATTGCAACGCCTCCTCTGGTACTTATGTTACAGTACTTAACCAATCAACATCAAAGCTATTTGATAGCTGGCCAAACGCATTCTGATCTAGTGCTCTGAAATATTGTATCACTGTAAAACGGAATGTGACTTTTTAATGATAATGACTTTCATCAATCAAAGTTTAACAATACTAAGTTGCTCTTTACTATACAAAATTTATAAGATGGTTTAAATAAAGAAAAGTGACCCATTTACACAATACAATGCATAAACAAGAAAAAAACAAAACAAAAGCTTTGGCAAAAACATGGAACAACAAAGGTGGAGTCTGGGAGCGTAAATAATCTTTAATCGACCGATGGTAGGCACCACAAGTTTTCTGTATTGTTTGAGTAAAAAAGATTTTTTACTCAAAAAAAGACAATTACCTACATTTGGTAGGAAAATGACTGCAATACACGACCCAAATAGTCTTTGGCACTTCACCTAAAGATTTACATGTCTTTACTTGAGAGAAAGATTTGCGAATGAAATTTAAATAACCCAATTTGTCACTCTGACCTCCAGCAACATAAAAGAACGTGTAGAAACTGCAGCAACCGTCAGCACATGCGTCGTCCGACTCGTCTTTTTTGCAGCAAATCATGCATGACAGGAGACACCAGAAGAAAGGAATGGCCGTCAAACACACAGACGTGGCAATATTCAGTCCAATAATGGTCCAGTCAAAAGCTACAAAACAGTCACGTCGTAAGGTAAACTGTATTATTATAACATTGTTTTCTAATAGTTCGCTGTTCTATTGGAACGGCCGTCGTCGTCACTTTTTGTCCTGTAAACTTTGAATTATAAATTTATTGCAAAGACCAGAACAAAATCAGAATGCATACAAATATGATTTTTGTTTTATTATTAGCAATTGTATATCATAATTATAATATTTATTTCTTACTTTATATTTTAATAACAAAGGAAAGAAGGTCTCACCCTTTTCATTATTTGGACAATCAACACTGTAAAACAGGCCATAATTGCATATTCTGGAAGACGTAGCAGAGTTTACTGAAACTGTTGAGCAGCTGACCGAAGGCGTGGAACAGTTGACCGAAGGCTTGGAAGAATTGACTGGTATCTCATGCACAGTTAGCCAGTTTGGCGTGAAACACCCAACATTAAAAAGTACTATTGCAATGAAGGCAATGCAGGCATAAAATCCAAATACCACATCTGACATGATGACCTGAGTTTGAAAAAAATATTCAATTTACATTTGAAAAAAAAAATCTTATGAAAGTACACTTTTAAAGTGCTTGATGTCTATGGTTTTATAAAAGTATATCAACCTTACAAATATTCATTTAAAATTTTTTGAATCATAAAAGTATTTAGAAACTCTCAGAAAACTCATGTCACAAACGTGCACGGTATAAGGTAAAAAGAAAATCGAAAATAATTTCGTCAACAAAATGCAAACTTAACTGAATTTTGTCGAAATACCGGTATAAAAACAACAATCACAATTAACACAAACATAAAATGTATGATGACACGGATGTGATCTGCATGTCACATCTTGTGGCCTATTTTGTTTTGATGTGCCATCTTTTTGCTAACTTTTTCATATGATGTTTTGATTGTCTTGTCTTACAGATACTTTTTTCTAGTCAGTTTTGGGGGATCAGACATTATCATATTTTACGTAACTGCTAAGAAAAGCTTGTGAATCTGATCCCCTTCTTGTTTGTTAAATTGTTCACATTTATACCATCATTTTTATTAACGACATTATTCATCTCTATGAAAGTGTTTCATTTAACTTATACAAATTTAGCAAAAAAAGCTGCGGTGAGCTTCCCTATAAGCATAAGAATACATAAAATGTATAAAGTAGAGGAAGTCTATTAAGATTATATTCTGATAAAAAGGCATGATTAGATTCTAGATTTCATCTACTTGTAGGTTTTATACTTTCAAGGGAAGCCAGATAAAAGATATCATTACAGCGAATACTGAAAAAATACAAAATTTCGCGGGGTTTAATCTTCGTTGTTTAGAAGATATGGAGAGACCCACGAATTTATGACCACTACGAAATGTAAATGTTTTATAGGTATTCAACGTACAGGTCCCTACCGACAAAGCAGGTAACAATATCGTCTTCGTTTGTAAGGCTCAATATACAAATTGTATTTTAGAAGAACTTGGATTTAATTCTACAAGTGGTAATCCTACTTAAACTCATCCTTCCCTTTCTGAGGAAGAAATTCTTCAAAACCATATGTCAATTTTTTTTTTTTTTTTTTTTTTTTTTCCAATTATTTATTCAATAACATACAATATAACAGAGAGGTAAAACTTCCGCAGAAGCCCTCTGATAATACCTCACCAGGGGTGCCAGGAGCTCCCTGGATCGATATAGTATTATGTAATATATCTCCAAAATTTGAACAGAATTTTTTCACATTATGCTAATATAAAATTATTGACGCTTCATTTTCATACATATCTCAAAGCAAATTAGCACCATTTTTACATATGATAACAAAGTATACGTTTAACACCATTATACTAATATATGATTATTGACGCTTCATTTTCATACATATACATAAATATCTCAAAGCAAATTAGCACCATTTTTATATATAATAACAAGGTATGCATTTAACACCAATAGAAATATGACCCTTGTTGCAGTGGAGATTGTGTGGGAAAAAAAGAAAGAAGTCTATATCAATCTCACTGTAACTAGTATTTAGGGCCAGGTCACCCTCAAATACGGGTCTTTTTGTGTTTTACAACCTATAAACAAGATCAATATGTAGAGTTTTGTGATAATAAAATTAGATTATAATAATACATCAGAATGAATGAATTTTACAAAGACATGAATATTTTTCCTCACATACATAGTTTGAATCTGGCATTACATTTTCATTTGATGATCTATTAATTTATTCATTTTGAACATATTTTAAACATAATGTTTCCAGTTACATGAAAAATAACATAGCAAAAAGGAATAAATAAATAAAAAAAATAGTGTGCCGTATAGTGGACTTCTATGTGTGAATACATGTATATATAGTTTATCACGGCAGCAGATAATACCGAGAGAAAAAAAAACAAAAACCTAGTGTGCCATATAGTTAATTAATGAATGTGAATACATGTATGTATAATTTATCACGGCAGCAGATAATGCCAATAACCCTATAACTGCATGGTATTAGAATCCCAAGGAATTTTGAAACATATGATTTATTTTCTCTTTGAATTTTGTCAAATCCTGTGATTGTAATAGTAAAAAATTCGATTTCATTTCATTTTTGAATGCATTTTTAATACTGTAGTCAGTTATTTTTAAATTATCATATTTAATTTTATTTCTTGTTTTCCATATGACCCATTTATAAATACATATTAAAATGTTAATAACGGTTCTTTGGGTTTTCGGTTCCTTCAAGTATCCTAATATTATTGTTTGTTGGTCAATTTGTAAAGTTCCATTTAGTTGTGGCGCATTTTCAATTATATCTTCTAGTAACTTGAGTGTTGTTTTCACTTTTGCGCAATGGAAAAAGAGGTGTTGTTGATTTTCTTTATGATTTTTACACAAGTTGCATAAACCATTGGATAGTCCGATTTTACATAATTTATCTTCAGTATACAATATGTTATGCACGCATTTCCATTGGAATTCTTGAATTTTATTTTTAACTTTCAATTTTGAAATACTGTTCCAAACTAGGTCCCACTGTATGTTATTTTGATAAATATTTTCCCATTTTTCTTGACATTTTGGAATTATTGTCTTGTTCAATATTTTTTCTATGTTCTTTAACTTGATATCTTCAAAGGTTACCACTTTATTACTATCTCTTTTTATGAGTAAATTATTATTCAGTTTATAAGAGAGTTTTATTTCGCTATTAAATACTGAGTTGTTATTTTTCAATATTGGATAAAACTGTTTAGGAATGGCTGATTTTATTTTACTATATTCAAATATCCAACATCTTTTGTCTAATAATTCATTGAAAATGGTGTCATTATATTTAAAACAATTTTCCACATCATTCCAAATGTCTTTAATTTTTAATAAACCACTTTTAATAAATGATTCCACATATAGGCTTTTCCCTTGGAATTGTATAAGTTTATTACCAAAAAGTGATAAGTTAAGTATTTCCTCTCGATTCTCTGGCTCAAATTTTGACTGAAATTCGCTATATGCGATGAGTGCTTTTTTATAAAAAATAGACATTTTATTTAAGAAAATTGGAGATAAATCTGAACAAGTGCATAAGAAATATTCCTGACTTGAATGCATATCTTTACTCCGTAACCAGTATTTACCAATAGCATTCCATGTTTCTAACTTTGAATGCATGATTTTATAAATTGTTTTTATTTGTTTACTTTTTATAAAATTAAAGATATTTGTCATATTCATCCCTCCTTCATTCTTGCTTAAGCAGCACACATTTCTGTCAATTTTATTCAATTTATTATCCCAAATAAAAGACCAGACAATATCGTTTAATTGTTTTGCATATTTATCCGGTATTCCCCTCATTTCGATTTCATAGCCAATAACTGGAATTATTAAATTTTTTATTATCAAGGTTTTCCCTTTGAATGTAAGGTTCCTAGTTTTCCAGACATGCAAGCTGTTCATTATTTTTTCTATTTTTTCCAACCAAATTGCATTAGTATCAATACCATATCCATGATATACCCCCAAAGTTTTTATATTAGTTTTTATCCACTGTATCTTTTTAAATTTTGGTGTTTTACCTTTTGATTTGCCAATAAACAGGCCCTTTGTTTTTGAGAAATTGATTTTTGCCCCTGAGGCTTTTTCATATATTTCTAACACATTGAAGGAATTTATTATAGATTCTTCGTCCTTATTAAATAGCTGAGTATCGTCTGCGAACATTTTTATTTTACATTCTATGTGTTGTTCTTCATAAGGAATTAAAATGCCCTTTATCTGCGGATTTTGCCTAATTGCGCAGGCCATAGGCTCTATTTGAAGAACATAAAGTAATGGAGCTATAGGGCAACCTTGTCTTGCTGATCTTGATATTGGAAAATATTTAGATACAAATCCATTAGTTTTAATGCATGTTTTTGATTTAATAAGTAGCATTTTTATCCAATCGCAATATTTTTCACCAAAGTTAAATCTTTTTAATGTTGCTGCTATCCAGCCCCATTCAATTCTATCGAACGCTTTTTGTTGATCTAGAAATATAATTGCTCCTTCTAAATCTTCATTATCAGCATAATCAATAATATCTTGAATCAGTCTATTTGCATCACTTATGTTTCTACCTTTAACAAATCCTTTTTGGTCTGGATGAATTAATTTTGGTAGTACTTTTTTTAATCTCTCGGCGAGTATTTTTGCAATAATTTTATAATCATTGTTAAGCATTGTTAATGGTCTCCAGTTTTTTATATCTTCTCTTTCATTCCCTTTATGTATTAATGAAATTACTCCTTTTGTTTGTGAGTCACAAAGTGTGGCCCTATGAAATATGTGTTTTAGAACTTTTGAAAATTCATTTTTAATTACATCCCAGTATATCTGATAAAAAGTTGATAAAATCCCATCTTCACCGGGAGATTTATTTGGCTTTAATGACATCACTGCTTGATATATTTCTTTATCGGTTATATCACTATCGAGCATGTTTACATCATAATCGTCTAATTTACATTGCACTTCCGCTAATAATAATTCCCCACTTTCACTATCCCATCCTTCCGTATTAAATAATTTGTAATAAAAATTAATTTGCTCTTCGATGATTGAATCAATGTCAGTTTTATAGGTACCATTTTCTGTTTTTATTCTATTCCGTAATTTTTTCTCTCCATTACTCTTTTCTAATTGAAAGAAATATTTCGAAGGAGCTTCTCCGTCTTTGAACCATCTACATTTTGATCGTATTATTCCCGCTTCTGTCTTATCTATATAAATTTCCTTTATTTTTTGCTCAAGGTCATTTTGATACTCTTTATTAGTTGTAGGTTTGTTTTTAATCTCTTCTAATTCTTTTTCTAATTTCTCAAGTTTTTGTTTATTAACGTTTAATTTTTTTGACATCTCAATACACAATGTTTTTATCTTATATTTAGTTAAGTCCCACCAGTATAGAATATCCTGACAATTATCTAAGCTTTTCTTGTAATTATCCCAAAATTCAACAAATGTTTTACGGAAGT